AACACATTGAAATAAAAAGACTTATTGGAAAAAATATAATTATAATTAAGTATAAACATTTAAGACACACAAATGCATGTACAAGTAAAGGAAAAACATTAATATATATGCAAAAACAGTCTGTGTTCAAATATAAAGACTAATTTATTGAAACTAACCTGGAAAAATAAATATGAAAGTCAATTAAAATATAAAACAGGAGATAAAGTTTTCCTTTTTTAATTTAATTGGTGCATTTTAAGTGTATTTATTTAGTGGTTCACATAATTCTGCTTTTATTTCTAATGATGTCAGTGTTGGTCCTCCGTACTGCAGAAGCCTGATAATCATCAGATCAGATGTGTTGGAGCAGAGGAACAAACATGCAGGGCTGCAGCCCTCCAGGACCAGGACTGCCCACCTTGGATTAGCTGAAGTGCTGATGAAGCAAACCGCCTGCTCTGTCTGAACCTTAAAGCTCATTAAGCAGCGGCTGCAGCTTCAATAAACAAAGAATCAAAGCAGACGAGGTGGATTTGTTTTAATGCAGCAGGTCTGCAGCAACACAAAGCTTCACTTTTTAGCTTTTCTTCATGTCCTAAAGAAGAGCAGAGAGTTCGTGACGGGGTTCAAAGTTCACAACTCGTTGTCAAGTCATGAAAAACGCTCAGAAATGTTGGTGAAATTAATATAAATCATAAATATTGTGTTAAATTTACACCGAGGATTAAAACTCAGATGTTCAGAACATCTCCAGGTCTTCAGGGTCCGGGTCAGTTGAGTCCATAACTGGACTCGGTCGGTTCTGGAGCTCGTCTGGTGATGTCCAGGTGGTTCAGCAATAATCCAGCTCTTTGAGCGAGGACACGGGTCAGCGTCTGGACGACGTCCTCGGGACGCCGCAGGTCCAGACAGACCTAAAGAGGGGATTTGGTCTGGTAGAAGTGGGACACTGGGGCAGACTGGGATGTGTGGCTCTGGACAGTCTGGTCCTGGGTTTTAGTGGAGCTCGGTCCCATTGGTCCAGCTGCAGCTGGTGGTGCTGGCAGCTGTCGGTCACTCACCTGCTGCCTGTCAGCTGCATGAAACTCAGACTCAGGCAGGCTTCACATGGACTGATTCTGGATTGATTCTGGATTTTATGGATTTTATGGATAAATGAAGAGACATTTTATGGATTATTATAAATTTTTCATCTTTCCGGGATGACAGGAAGTGTTGGAGCTCCAGACTTCTGCAGACTACAGGTGAGTGGATCTGCTGTGACATCACCTGTTCTGTGCTTCTTTTATAAAACAGCTATTTATTTCAATAAACCCTGAAGTTGGATTAAAGAAGATTAAAGATATATTTGATCTTTAGTTTGTGTAAAAACAGGTAAAAATCCAAACGGTTTATTTTTACCAAACATCTCCTGTTTTCCAATCAGTGGCCCAGCAGGTCCTCTCTTATTACCTCACCACGTCTGATTGCTTGTGACTCGTGATGAGTGAAGGTACGCTGGAGTCAGCGGGAAAGCCCCCCTGAGCGGGGGGCAGCAATCAGGCAGCCGCCGCCAGAGAGTCAAAGGAAAACATGTTGGGAACATTCAGCATGTCAGAGGCTCGTTAGGAGCCGGAGTGCTGCTGAGAGGAACAGTAAATCACTGTGTACACACACACACACACACACACACACACACACAC